TCTGGTATAAAGAAGCCAGTGCTTTGTGCTGTCATGTCAGTAGTATTTAACGTTGAAATGACATTCAAATTAAAATGAAATCTTATTGATGCCACACAGTGACAGGCAGTAAAAGCGAAACACATCTGTGTGGTAAAGGTAACAGACTGCAACTTTAAATAAGGAGCAATACGGTGCAGCCTGTGGGTGGTAAAGAGGCAGTCTCCCAGCAGTGTCTATCCACTTCCCTGTCACAGTCCTAACACAAGAGGAATTTTGCCAGTGGCTGTTTTCACTCATCATTTGGAGAACTGAACTTAATCTCACTTGTGTCACAAGTGCTTCCTTGCTACTCTTTAATCACCATTCCTTGAACATAGTCTCACTTTTCTTAGCTGTTGGAAAAACAAAAACGGTTCCTCCACATTTTATCACACGTCACGTACAAGTGTTTTGTAATGCTCTGAGTACTGAGTAATGCTGACTAATCTGTGATCTGTAAGGATTTCCACAGATCACAGAGTACTCAGCACTATACTGTACTTCCACAGTGATCACTCATAACTAGAGGATGGGAAACACTGGAACAAGTTGTCATGTTTTCCATCCCTGGAAACATTCAAGGTCAGGTTGAATGGGGCTCTGAGCAACCTGATCTAGTTGAAGATGTCCCTGTTCACTGCAGGGGGGCTGGAATAGATGACCTCTAAAGGTCCCTGCCAATCCCAACTATTCTATGATTTGATGATTCTATGATATTCATGGTGCCTGAAGATGGATGTCTATATTAATGATACCATCCACCCGTGTACTCAGAAAGTATCCTGGGGTTGTGATGTGTAAGAAACATTACCACTATGCAGAACTGCTCTTTGGACTCTTCTCAGACCTGAGGGCTTTTACCAAGTTCTTGCGCTGCCGCTTAGCTGTCTGAGATAGCATGAAGTTGCTCTCTGTCCTTATCCAGACATATACTTTTTTAGGAGCAGCGTATATAGCTCTCTGTGGCAGTTTCACGGTTCCTCAGCCTTGTGCAGAATGTAATACAAGCAGAAGCTTCACTTATCTCCACAATAAGCCTTGGAGTCCATTGTCATGAGTCAGCGGAAGGGTCCATCTGCTCCAGGAATACTGACACATATTACCTGTAGTAACATGCCTGGCTGCACTGGGCCACTCAGCAGTATGTTCTGCCTCACAACAGACTCCTGGGTGCTTCAGAAACATGCAGAACTAGTTACACACCTTATAAAGTCTGAAAATCATAGTGAGATTTATGGTACACTCTGTGGCTATATTTTAACTTTCTGAAGGGCTTTCACTCACCTATTCCTGATTTGCTGCTATAGATTAAAAGTCTATAGTTCTTCAACAAGAGGAACAAACACAAGTTCTGTTTGTTCCTCAACACTTCACTTCTATTTGTATCCTCCATTTCCCTATGATGTGAAAATACAGATTTACCTGCACTTCTGTGCTGAGATGGAAATGAAGGCTGAAAATTTTATCACTAAGGACTATTCTCTTTGAGAGTGAATGTTATATAAACTCAGATCTTAACGTTAACTTCCACCAATTTTGAATCCATGACCATTTCTTCGACTGAAAGCAGAATTCTGGGTGGCTATCGTTTCTGCCAGAAGAGTGGGCAAGATTCAGGCCCTTGAGCTGTGCTTGCATCAAATTCTATCTAGTGTTCCTAAAAGAAAACAGATTTAGGATTGTTCATGGATAGATTATCTTTTTTTAACATAGGTTTAATATTTTTATTTGCATTTATCATCTTCTATATTTAACATATATGGTTAGCAGTTTTACAGTATTCTTTTTATTGGTCTCAAGATATACTTTTCAGTTTAAGAAAAGTTTTGAAATACATTTCTAAGACATGATACATTGGTTTGGCATTCATACTGTTCTGTTATTGCTAAAGACTTAGTTCTAATTTTCAGTTTAAGTGCTGTGTTATAAATATTCTCTACCCCTACATCTTTCAAGAGATAGTGAAAGTTAGTGTTTGGAAGGTGAATCTGAATTAGCATAATCTAAATTTATATAAATGGTTTAAACCTGGAAATTAATTTAAGAGAATCCTGAACTGAAATTTAATTTAGTTCATTTCCTATTCTACAGTAATTGAAAATGTTAGAAGAACGTCAGTGAAAACAACGTTGTGAAACTGCAAACTCAGTCAATTATCCTAGCATACAAACAAACACAAATTCAGAAATATAGTGGCTTTGCCTCAGGCTGTGTAATGTCAGTTG